CTTAATTTAAAATAAATTGACTGTTACCAGAAGGAAAATGTAATAAACAGAAAACAAACTTGACTCTTGCATATGTGCCCCGTGGCCTACACCAAAACCACCAAACCCATTGCCGTTGAGTCAATTCCAACTCATATCAGCCCTTTAGGACAGAGCAGGACTGCCCCATAGGGTTTCCAAGGAGTGGCTGGTGGATTTGAACTGCTGACCTTTTGGTTAGCAGTTGAGCTCTTTACCACTGCACCACCAGGGCTCCATGGCCTACACAGTGGACCAATAATTTCCCTAATGTTATACTCATTTGGGTGATGTTACCATTAACAAAGCCATCTGAGGTAAAGTATAGGACTTACTGATGGATCATGCGTGCCCTTTGATTCCTATCATTAGCCTTGAACCACTGACAGGAAAGCTGCCAAAGCAATGGTTTCCTGTACATTATTCCACTGGAGGTAACTTTTCTAACACTTCTGTATATCTTATGATAGACTTGTTGTTTCTGGCTTTTAATGATGTCATGCCACATGGAGAAACAAACACACTAGCTAAAAAAACCAAATCCATTGCCAATGAGTCAATTCCAATTCATAGCAGCCTATAGTTCACCTTTATTTGGCAAGAAAAAGAAAAAAGTATACAAGGATAGCAAGTCTCTGGGTGGCGCAAATGGTTAAGCACTCAACTACTAGCCAAAATGTTGGCGGTTTAAACCTACCCAAAAGGCACCTCTGAAGACTGGCCTGATGATCTGCTTCCGAAAGGTCACAGCCTTGGAAACCCTCTGGAGCACAGTTCTACTCTGAAATACATGGCATGGGGTTGCCATAAGTAGGACTCAACTTGAAGCCAAACTATCAACATCTTATTACTATGTTTACTGACTCAACTTTTGATACTACTCATTTTATTGTTTTACTTCACTCATTCATTCATCCATTCGTTATTCTAACACATTTATTAAGCATATTTGTTATAATAGGCATTGTTCTGGGTTCTGGGGCTACAATGGTGACGAAAACAGAAACACTAAGTCCCTGTCCCATAGGGCTCACATTCTAGTGGAGGAGAGAGGGAGGGAGGGAAGGAAGAAAGGAAGGAAGGAAGGAGAGAAAGAAGTGAATAAAGAAGATGGGAAGGCAGGCAGGAAAGAAGGTAAGCTTAGTACAAGGAAGAGTGATGGGGTAGGAATGATATTTTAGGTAGGATGGTCAGGGTAAGCCTTTCTGAAGGGATAGTTTTTGAGCAGAGACCTGAATGAAGTGAGGGAATGGATCACATGGCTAACTGGAGAAAGAAAGTTCTAGGCCGAATGACCAACAAGTACCATGACCCTGAACCAGGAGTGAGTTTGGTGTGTTCGAGGAATAGCATGACCGATGTGCTCAACATTCAGTAAGCAGGGAGGGAAAGGTATGAAATCAGAAAGACAGGCATTTATTCTGGGCTTGATGATTTAGTAGAGTAATTCTACTAATTTAGGGGCCATTTCCAATTGTAATTACCTCGCTTACAATATGTCAGTAGTATTTTCCATGGGAACCTCTTTGATCCATTTTTAAGTACATACCTTTGGATTAGAGCCAAACTGAGGAGAAGCATCATGAATCCAGTATAACTGACATTCTTCCAGGGGAAGGAGAAGAGATTAGTTACCAGTTACCCTGCCCATTTGACAAGGGGTTTCTTGCTCTCAGCAGAAGAACTTGAGCGTGATAGAGCATAAAATGTAGATGACTGTGGATTTACCTTCCTGCCCTGGGAAGAGCAATTCTGGAATGATGTCTTAAATTTTGCAATCTGCTCTTGATGTTGATTGATCAACTTTAATAGAAAGCTTTGCTTTATATAATCTCTAGCATTTTTCCTAGAAACAATTTTCTCGCGATGAAATACACCCAGTATTATATTATTTTAAACATATTTTCATTTTAGGCAATACATTTGCCTTAGAATACCATTTGAATTAAATAAAATGATTTGCTAGTTCAGTAATATCCTAGAAACCCATTGGCTATGTAAACGCTTTATTTCATTTGCAAGTTGGGAACTTTATTTGTTAAGGGTATGCTAAACCTGGATGTACTTGCATTTACTAAATTAACCAAAACTCATACAACATGGTAACATCTGCCAGCCACTCTCCTAAGCACTTTTCTCCTCTTAATTCATTTAATTCCTGTAACAATCCTATAGATAAGGAGATTGAGGCCAAGAGACATTTGATAACGTTCACAACATCATCCAACTGGAGGTAGCAGAGCTGGAGATCAAACCCAGGTGTTCAGACCTCCGGTCTGCACGCCTCACCATCAAGCTCAGTTGCCTCTCTCCATGTGTAACCCTTTCTACATAAAGCTGAGCTAGAAAATTAAAACAATTTCTGCTCTGGACACACAGCAGTGAGTTCCCATCTCTAGCAGCCGCTTGTGTCTTGATATTGTTTTCTCTTCCTTGGTTGTTTTATGACCAAAGTGATCACCGTTGCCAATATCATTTCAACATGCTTCTGAGCCCCTTTTGGACCTAGACCCTAACCCTCTCCTTAATCTATTACTTGTGGTGTCTGGAATTCCAGAGTCTCTGTGGTATGTAGGCTCACCACTCTGTCTCAGAATGAAAAATGCTAGATAATGCAAAGCAGACATGATTCGCCTTACAAGCAACTGTGGAAAGAAAAGGAAGAACGCTCACATTTGCTAAGTGTCTAATACTTGGTGGGTGTAATCACATCTCCTCTCACTTAATTCTATGACTGTGTCACTGAAAGTCTATTCCATAATGAATCACTGATCTTCGGGGACAGACTGGGGGATGATAATAGCTTCAGATGCCATATTTCCTCAAGAATTTGCATCTTCTCTTTAAGAGAAGACTTGAAGATTCTTTCAGTCACAATAATTTAACACAAACATTTGCTTTCTTTTGGAGAGTATGTATAAACAGAATACATGTGTACATTTTGAGTAGGTATGGATCTTTCCAGCATCTTACAAAACTCACCAAATAAGCAATTACTTAATAGATGTTTCTTTTTATATATATATATATATAATTCTTTTTTTTATTGTACTTTAGGTGAAGGTTTA